CAGGAGGTGATAACTGATCCTTAGGAAAGTCATTCTACCTTAGCAGGAGGATGCCTTCACAACGTGCTGCATGACTCGCTGCACACTTGATACTCTTCTGCTTTTGCTCCAAATTACTTCCCCTAGGAAAAGTGCTGAGCTTTTGCAAAGTAATTACTCATAAAAAATATTACAAAACAGCAAGGCATCATTAATTGTTGGAAAGAAAATCCCCCTAAATATTTTTCTTCGGGGAATTTACAGATTTCTGCAAAACCTCTCAAATGCATCACTGAAAATGACTCGAAAGAAAAACCACAAGTTGCCTGAGCCACAGCCGGATGCCTCTGATGCCGATTGCTCCTTCAAGCCTATCTTCCACCAGCACTAGTATTACCCTTTGGTTTTCTTTTTGGTCCTCCTGAGACAACAGCTAACAGGTGCAACGACTTCCCAATAAATCCCATGTAGAAACAAGAATTTAATGACAACAGAAGAGCAGGGAGTACCATTTTTTCCAGCAATGCCACATGGGTGGCTTCACACCTGCCCTCAGGTTTGTCTTTCAGGGGTCATCCTTCTGCAGCACATCTGGCTGCGATGCCTTGACTTCATTCATTCCTCCTTTGAAACACGTGAAGGCTTTTGCCTTTCCACAAGATGCAGGGAGCTGCCATCACCTACCTCACAGCAAGACCTCCCCAAGTCCCAGCACTTGAGGCACATCAACTCCAAACCTCTTGTAAGCCAAGCAAACAGTGCTCCAAGATTTCCATGATGCTGGAAGAGCACATGTTTTCCACTACAGCATGTGAGATCTCTCCTGGGACAAAGCACAGCACTGCTTTTTCTCTTGCTTTAAATAGATTTGCAGAAGGCCACCCCAAAGTTAAAGAACTTTCTAGAAGAAAGTCTCTGGCTCTTGTCTCCAGATGTAAAGGAGCAAAACCACCACATTAACCTTCCTAAAACACTGCATTTCACATTCAACATTTGTTTTTCCAGCCTTTCTTTTCACAGCTCCAACCCAGGAGAGCACGGGTGCTCAGCCGGCACAGGAGCTACCCACCAGCCTTGGCCCAGCCATGATCACTTTTCCCCAGTGGGATTTCAGGACTTAGCAGAGCACACACTTACAAGCTGTATTTTTCCTAAATGGATTTCTGCATACATTTAATTATTTTGTTGAACTGGAGCCACTGCAAGTGAAGGAATCATTATTCTAAAAAAGTAAACAAGGGCGGCTGCACATTCCTGCAAATATTCAATAGAAAAACACTCTTGACTCCAAAGGAGGAAAAAAGCAAAATTCTCCTCCAAAAGCCTCACATTTGCTCTCAGTTTGGCTCTTTTTGCCCCAGCCCTGGAGGGTGTTCCTGCAGAGGACAGCCCCAACTCGGGCTCACAGTGGCATGCACACACACACTCTGGGTTTTGGGTGGAAATACTCCAACAGCCTGAGAAACCAAAACCACTGGTGCAGTGTGAGCTGAACTCCCCAGCTGTGCTTGCCTCAGGAAGGGTGATCCTAAATGCTGCTTGTCTCAGGCTGCCCCAGGGACTCTGCAGCTGCAGCAGCCCAAACCCCTGCCCAGCAGCACCATCACAGAATGGTTTGGGTTGGAAGGGACCTTAAAGTCCATCCAGTCCCACCCCCTGCCATGGGCAGGGACACCTCCCACCAGCCCAGGTTGCCCAAAGCCTCATCCAGCCTGGCCTTGAACCCCTCCAGGGATGGGGCATCCACAGCTTCTCTGGGCACCCTGGGCCACTGCCTCACCCCCTGCACAGGAAAACATTTCTTCCAAATATCCAATCTAAATCTCCCCTCTTTCAGCTTAAAAATCAGCTCTTTCAGCTTTATCAGTCTTTGCTTCTTGCCACCCCAGAGAGTGCTGCCTGTAGACTCCAGGAGCTGCAGGGTGGGATAGGTGGGTCCGCAGGGGAGCCCCAGCTCCTCCATCCCACCACAGCCCTCAGCTGGGACATCCCTCAGGTTCCCAAGCCCAGCTGGACTCGCAGGACCAGCACTTCCCCAGGGGAGTTATGTTTCTCCTCAGCACCAGCAACTTCCTTCTTCCTTTCACTTCCACCTTTTGTCACATTAAAAAAAAAATTAAAAAATATGTCCTTAGAAAATGACAGATAAGTTTGATATTCCCATCATCTCAGCACTCCTCATTTCCCCATCTTTCAGCTGCTCTCCTCTCGCTTCCTCTCTTCACAGCTCTCGAAGGCTGAAGCAATAACATCTCTCTCCTCTTGGTGGGATGACTGCCAGCAGCTACTCTCACTCTATAGGGTGTAAGGTACAGGGATGAATATCCATGGGGGAAAACATCCCCAAATTGTCACTGAATCAAAGGAACAGACGCAGTCCTTCCTGATCAGCTAAAGCAGCTCAACTGTTGCCCTTGATCTAAGCCATGTGGGTAACCCCCTCCAAGCACAGCGGGGTGAGAAACCAACGTGGATTAGGAGAATTAAGTCATCTCAGGAACTTCCACCAACATGAACTATCATCTGGAGCCACCAAGGCCCTGGGGGGCTTCCAAGCACAGAACCCATGGGAAGGCACCCCGGGATGGCTTCCCAGGATGTGGGATCCCAGAGAAATTATAGGGGTGACGCAATAGCCCTGCATTTGTGGCACTGTGGGGAGCTGCTGCTGGCACCCCACGGCAGCTATGGGGATGGAGAAGGCAGGAGGAGCAAGAGAGGAAACACTGCCAGAGGGCCAGGGAAGATAAGCAATGGGACAGAGCAAAATGGGAATTGGATTGGAAGGATAACACACCTCTATCTACTGTAAACTCTGCTGGGACTCATAAACCTGGTGTCCTGCTCAAAGCAAGCCTAGTAAAGTCAAGCCACACGCAAAACATGAAGGAGATTATTGCTGCATCACCACCAGCCCCAACACCTGCCCATAAACCAGCCAGGGAAAAGCCAGGGCTGTATTCCCAGGAGGAGATGAAAACTGCTCTCGTGGCAGACAGGACTTCTTGTAGTTACTAAGTACATCCAAGCAAAGTTTCCCTACTCCCATCTACTCCGTTGGTTTCATTTTGCAAAGAAACACTTAATTAGCCACAAGGTCAGACACCAAGAAGGTATCAGTGAGGCACACTCACCTAGATGAGAATCAGATCTACTTTCCAGCTTCCCAAGTTATGAAGGACTCTATATCACTTAACCATCAAGCAGGGAAGAAGAAAAAAAAAAAAAAAGACTCACAAAGAAAAAGAAAAAAAAAGCAAGCATCTGCTCTCGAAAATTGCACACACACACACTACCACTGAGCAGGAAGGAAAGTGGCTTTTCCTTTCTCTCAGGCTTTTATAGGTGTTAGTAATTAATTATTCTAATTACAAAAAGCTGAGCCTCCCACAGGAGCCAGTCCCCTAATACGACTCTTCTTCATTGGGCTGCTGGGAATAGGTGGCTTAAAGGGTTCCCCATCACCGCTCCAGCCTTCAATAACAGGACTCCATCATGCCAGAAAGATAAAAAGATGAGATGGGAGGTTGGGGAAGGGAAATGAAAGAAGAGCTTAATTATTTTTCACACATTTGAGTTATGCAGATGGCTCACAGCATATGGGATTTTGATTTGGGCTTTTAATAGAAGAAAAACTACCAACGCGTTTCTCAGCCAGAGAGACCAAAACAATCTGTTTTTTTTGTAGTCTGCACTTGATATCTGGCTAAATCTGACCCCCTCCTTCCCAGTGCTCGGGTAGTCAAACTGTGCCATCAGGCAACTGAAAGCAAATAAAAAAACAAACAAGCATTATCATCACTTGTCATATTTATATTTTTGATTTTATTTTTAATTTTTTATTAAAAAAAAACATTATTAAAAATGACTCATTTTCTTTCTGGAAGGCTTCTGCCAGGGAGAACTCTCATTTCAATCTCATGAACAAAATGCAGCACAGTTAAAACCCATAGGTATAAACAAAACTCAATTAAAAAAAAAAAAAGAGAACAGTTCAAACCATAGCTTATAATTATGCCATTTCCTCAATGTCAATAGAGAGGCTTTTGTTAAAAGCCTTCAATTCAGAATATTTTCTTTCTGGAAGGCTTCTGCCAGGGAGAACTCTCATTTCAATCTCATGAACAAAATGCAGCACAGTTAAAACCCATAGGTATAAACAAAACTCAATTAAAAAAAAAAAAAGAGAACAGTTCAAACCATAGCTTATAATTATGCCATTTCCTCAATGTCAATAGAGAGGCTTTTGTTAAAAGCCTTCAATTCAGAATTTCATACAAGACTTTTAAAACACAGGGGAAGAAGGAAACACATGCTTATTTAAAAAAAAAAAAAAAATTGCTTGGGTAACGGTTAATGAATTCAACAAATTTACTTCCTCCAAAGCAATTCTGTTTGCCCAGCCATACAGCTGGCCTCGCGTGATGTATTTGCTCAGAAATCTGAAGACACACAGTTCCTGACACGTCATTCTGGACAAAATTTCCCAATTCTGGCACTGGTTTGGTGGGGGGGTTTCAGTGAGACTGTACCTGGCTTCCCACTTTGGGAGCCTGGAGTTTGCAGTGCCAGTAGGTACCACTGGGAGCCTGGAAAAGGGGCTTCGACTCAGCCCCTCTCGGTCCCCGAGGTGAGACAGCACCAAGGCGAGCTCTGAGCATCCATCTGAGCTCCTGAACCAGGGCGGAATTAAGCACCTGCCCTTGTACATATATATAAAGCCCCAAACTGGGTGTGTTAAAAATTGCAAGTTGTGAGTACTTTGTGGGAAAACAAAACAAACAAACAAACCCAAAAACCTATCCTCAGAGTGGGAAATTTAAGGTTAAAACAAAACAAAACAAAAAAAAAGGTCTTAAAATATATACATATATATATGGCTTTTCATTTTCCATATCCATTTCATGGGAAACAAAAATAAATTTAAGGGTGATATTTGGTTTTTAAAAACAATTCTGTCCTTCTCTTTATCTGTCAGCCGGAGTGGATGGGATGGAGGCGCTGACTGCGGTTGCTCACAACACGGCTCAGAATCCACCCGAGTTCTCCTTCATCCTCGCTAGTAGCCGGGAGTAGACAGGTGCTGCCAAGGAGAAGACTGAGTTCACTGGGACAATCACACAGCATCTCCCTGTCCCCTCCCCTCCCGGTTATGCTACATCTTGCTTGGAGCAAGAAAACAGAATAAACGTCTCTTTCAGGGACAGGGATGCACAATGTAAATTAGAAACAAGCTAGAGAAGTTGTCTTACCTAGTCGAGGAGTCCTCTGAGAAACCTGCATGGTAAGAAAATATAAAGTTTGCATAAATACAAGAAATCTCCGACAGCTATAAGAACAGTTTGCATGTCAATATATTTATCCCAGTCTCCAACAACTATGGATGAATGACTCTTCATTATTGGAGGCTGACATATATCGTACCGTGCCAAGGTCACATTCACAGTGTGCTGCAAAACTGTAGGCTTCATGTTGCAAAATTTTTTATTTCCTATATAATTAAATCATGTAAGAAGAGAGGACTGGTTATTCCACGAAACACATACACTCACTCTCTTCGGAAGGCAAAATCGGAACGTGACGTTATCTTCCAATCGCTATTACCGAAATGTGATTCTAGGAGTTCTACAACGAGAGATTTTTTGCCGTTTACCTTGGATAACGCAGATGCTTGTTTGAAGATTTCTAATGCGGGATCCGCAGGCTCATCACCTCTTTCTTGTGGCCTTGAAGCTAAGGGTGGGACATAGACAGCACTGAAATCCTCGTCAAAGCACGTAGGCTGTTTCCTTCCAGTATATTGGAGGATGTGTTGAAAATCCCAGAACAGACTAATCCTCCTCAATAAACAGAAGCATTTGCCATGTATCACCTCTCCCTCCCAAAGCAGCTCTGCTGCAATGGTGCAGCTCTAGATATTTGTAACCATGGACCTACCCTGAGGCTGTAACACAGAGTTCACGGCATAAATCACCCCATTCGTGGCCATGATATCGCTTTCAGCAACAGGCTCCTTGTTGATATGTATTACATTGTTTTTCTGTTCAGGAAAAGAAAAAAAAAAAAAGCAGAAAATAAGAAACTTTTGTCACTGCCGCTGCTCGTGCCAAGAGGGATGGCTGCGGAGATGGCATCAGGAGAAGGCAGATCAGGGCTGGACACTGGAGGAGTCTAGCACACAAGTTGGACAACTCAACACCCTTGGAAACACTGGCCTTTCCATTTTTGTTCTACATTTTCTTTCTTATGCACCGAGTGGGTCTTGAGTTATTTATTTTCTGAAATATTTTTTTTCTCAATAGAGGATCCTACATTTTCTTAATGTAGTGCAGAGTTTCTGAAATGAAATTATACATTAAATAAACCTTGCTGCGTAAAGGGAGCCTGTGCGGAGATCATTTTTGCTACACTACAAAAGATGTGCTAGCTGAACAAGCAATTCGTTTAATTTATTTATACTTCTTCCCTCATGACTCAGGGTTGAATTTATAACAGCTCCTGGAAACCATTTACAACTGGTCTTCTGGGGAGAAAGCTGAAGAAAACCACATTTCAAGACTGTTGAAGTGAACACACGGCAACAACCCCTCTGCTACAGCCCAGAAAACACCGTTTGGTGGGTCCATGCACACATTTCAACAAGGTTCCCACATCATCCACACAAGCGCAGACATGCTTTGGTCCCAGACATGGACCCCAGCCCTGCTGACCATGACACCTCATCGAGGGGACTCACCACGCTGACTTCCAGTTTATCTCCCTGCATGGACTTCAGCCTCACGAGGGCACCGACCGCGCCGCTCACCAGGATCTCATCGGCCATGTGGAACTTGAGGATGTTGGCAAGCTCTTTGGCATTACCTGGAGGGAAGAAAAACATTTATGTTTGCAAAACAGCATCAGCACTTGCTTCTCGCATTTCATGGGAATGGAATTACATGGAGCAGACCATAATTTCCTAAAAGTGCAAGGGAACAATGTGAAATTGAAAAGTCCAGGAAGAAGGACCTCGGTTGGAACTGGTTAGGACATTGGGGCCATTCCTACCTGGACAGGTCAGGATCCCAGTGAATCCAGAAGGATGCTTTTCCAATGTCCCACCTTGGTACACACCAAACCTGCCCTATCCATGAAATCCCCATCTCTTGGTGTTCCAGTCCCTCATTCTCCCACTGTGCACACTATGAACCTGCTTCTGTTGGTACTTTCACTTCCCAAGGAAGTCAAGACGGAAAAAAAGACCTCTGTGAAATAAGGAAGCAGACAGAGCACTCTGGTATTTGCAAATGTCAATACTTCTGCCAACACCAGCGTCACTGCAATAATCTCCTTGGCTGAGAGAGCAGGATTCCCGGGTGGGGAGGGGAAAAGCACGGGAGAAATGTCACCAATGGCTCTCAGACCACTGGGCTGATCCCCACCCCACTGAGTCTCTACGCATGTAGCTGTGCTTTGAAATACATCTTAGGAAGATAAGATGCTTCCTCTTCGCCATCTGTTTTCTAGAAGAGGCTGTGATGTGCACAGCACGGGCCAGCCGCCCTCCTCTATCACTGCCAAAACCCACCGACAGGCGATGGGGAACAGCTAGTGCAGAAGATAGAGAGCCTCCATCCATGAAACCAGAGCAGCTCCTTCAGCAAGGGGAACTTTTTGTTTTGCCTATATCTGAATACCCTCTGAGTGTTTTTTCCATTACAGTTTTTCTGGGGTGGCCACAGCTCACCCTGCACATCCTCACCAGCATGATTCACTTCTTCGTCAGGAGCGTAAGCTAAATATTTGCGTGAAGAAACAAGAACGTATGAAGTGTCTGCATCTGGGATACTTCACTCCTGCCGCCGTTTACAATAGCTGCACAACAGTTCTGAAATATTTACACATTGAGCACTAGACTGGACGTGCAGGCTGATATGACCAAGTTCCTTATCCCTGCACTTAAAAGGATAACCAGCTACCATGGGCAGATGCTTCCCAAATTATGATGTCAATGTTTGGTTGGGCTTTAATGACGAGAAGACATTACACTCAAATACCTGACATTGTTTCCAACCACAGCCGGTTTTCAATATGAACAAAAGAAAATATCATGCTGCTTATCCAGAAGAGCATTATTAAACATTCCCATGCTTTTTGCCACACCCAGCCTGTTGCCTGCGCTTTTCAGGACACAGGTCTTCATCTCTGCTAGGCTGAAATATTTGTCTTCTCAGGATCAGACTGGATGTCCTGCTTTGTCCATGTACACATAGATGGAGCAACAGCTCCATCCTTGTACTACTTAAATTTCATGCAGTGTAGCTTGAGGCCGAATGTGGATTGCATTTTCTATTTGCAAAACTTACTTTAGACACCCTGCTCCTATGTGGTTGACAGCCACATTCTCACTTCTCCCATCCCTGACTTGCAAGGCAGAGACCTCCTCAGTTCCTCTAGAAACACCTTAGAGTTATCTTGCTTACACCAACCAGCCCAGCCCAGTTTAAGTCATAGTAAGTTTGTAGTACACACACTACAAACATGTTTTCCAAGCCCATGCCCACGCTTTGTGTGAGAGTCGGGTGCCACTCCATGCATCCTCAGCCTTCTGCTGGAATGGGGCTTGTCCAAACCCATGAAGCCCACGCTTCCAACAGACAAAGTCAAAGAATGAGATGTGGCAAAGAAACTCAGCCATTTCTCCCACATCATGCCAAGAACACACAGCAGCTGCTCGTCTCAGTGCTCTGAAAATGCTCACCCATGAGTTTGTTCAGCTCCCCCTGGGGCATGGCTCGGAAAGCTTCGTTTGTTGGAGCAAACACCGTGAAGGTACCCGGCCTGTTCAGGTTTTCCGTCAGACCTGCAGACTGGATTGCAGCCACCAATGTGCTGCAAAACAAACACATGTAAAATACTTCACTGTAAACTACTTCTGTTGGTCTTTGAGCAATTGCATGTTGTGTTCAAAAGAGAGCTGACAAGTCACAACTGCAAAATCCTCCTGAGGTCCTCCAAATCAATTAGCCAAGATGTTGATTAGGTAGGAAATAAGCATGTGAGGTTGAACCAAAACATCTGAGAAATGGCAAAGCAAGGTGGGGATGCTGATCCTTGGGGACCAAGTGGCAGTGAGGAGACAGAAAGCCCCAGCCACAGGAGCTCTGATGGGCACAGATGGCTCCAGAGCAGCTTCTGACTGTATTAAGGGGGACAACATACTGTTGGCTCAAAATTCATTGAAGGGTTATTTGAAGTCTCACCCCCTATAATTTCAGGATGAGACCATGGGTTTAGATGCTCCTTCCATGTTGAAAATATTAGGTTTAGTCATGACTACGACCCATAATAAAGAGAAACTGCTTTGGCAGCTCTTCTGCTCCTAACTGGCACTAAAAGGTCACCTGAAGCGATGGTCTGCCTTGAGAACATCCATCACGGAGCCAGTTGGGGGAGTCAACATTTTGTCCACGCTAAAGAGGGTCCCAAACCTTCCTCTCTTGTCATGGGCAGCAATGCAGGCATTTTCAATGCAAAGGTTCTGCGAACAAAATTGCAGAAAAAAAAAATACTTTATTAACATACGCTTCAAAGGGGACATTTTTATACTTTCCACAATGCTCAGTTGCACTTTTTATGTGATAGCCATAATGTTACAGACATCAAGCATCATTCAGCCACATACAACACTGCACGCTAGAGGAACTTACATTGCGGTACACAAAAACTCTCAGTTCCTTGTCACCCAGAGTCTGGAGTTTCTGTCCATGGTAAAGATATTTAGAGGAGAGCTGGTCTCTAACAATGTGGTTCAGAAGCAAGTTTTTCATGTTGCTGTCAACACTGGGAAGTCCATCTGCAGCAAAAAGTACGGAAAGAACCAGTGATTCACTCGGAATGACCACTGCGACACTAAAATGTGCAAATACAGAGTATTGTCTGCACCAGATTTTAAACTAGATGCCACTGCCTATAGCTGAGGTATTTGAGAGAGGGTTTGCATGCTTCTGCTCTGAGACTTGGCTGAAGATTGATCTGTGGCCCAAAGTGACGGAAGAAAGGGATTTATTCCCCAGTTTACCTTTGAACACATCATTCACTGGGGCAAGGAGGGTCACTTGCTCACTGCCAGTTAGATGAGAACTGAGACCAGCTTGTCTGAAAAGGTCCATAGACTTGGAAACTTCAGATTCTTGTGCCAACTCAAACAGGGTCTTAGCTGAAAAGAAAAGCAATGCATAGTACCCTTGCGTTAAAGGCAGTCCACCCATCACTACAAAATATCTGCACCCTCTAAATCCAGTATTTCCTCTGCAAAATAGACAAAAGAAAGGCAACAGAAAGAAAGATGCAGAGAGGCACCAGTACCTGAGTCCGGGATCAGCAGCTCATTAACAAAATGCACGACACCGTTGGTTGCCAGGACATCTTTGTTGGCGATGATGGGCCTCCCGTTGAGGGTCAGCTCTTCCCCACTGCAGCCCACATCCAAGGTGGTGCCTTCCAGAGTCTCCATCGTCAGGCCAGCAATGATGGCCTCAGCACACATGGCTGACTTCAGGATGTGAT